TGCTCAAGCTATTTACTGATCTGTCAGGTTTCCGATATGCGTCCCCCCCAATGACAGACTCGTTCCTACGCCCTTGGTTACGAACAAATATGATTTAGGTTATATTAAACAACTGAATTTAATTTACTTGACAAATTGTGCCCTTCCCCTTCATCTTTTTTTTTTCCCCAACAGCCGTCTTGTAGCAATACCGAAGGTCTTTGTCAGAGCAACCTACCGTAATAAACATTTTAAATAACCATAAAATAAATATCAAACATGTTCGAAATAAATTCTGTTTATTTATAAAATCCTATTCACGTTGAAACGTTATCTTCTTTTTACTTACCATGTCTTATTTCAAAGTAGAGAAGTCCGATAAGGAACCTTCAGTCTTGTTGAAAATGGAGGCTTGTGAAGAGGGGAGTTGCTTCTTTCAAGTTTCATCTTTAACCCAACCGATGGGTAAATCTACCCAACCCCTGACCCAACAGAAGTGTTCAAGCTGTAGACTAACGGTAAATTTCTGACCCAACTCTTGAATTATGAATTTTGACCCAATATTTGGCCAAACTAACCCAACCTATGACCCAACAGCTTCAACCCAGAAATTGGGTTATGAGAATAACCCAGCATTTTTAACTGTGTAGTGACATTCTGAACAGATTGCAAAGATAAGATAAGAAGGGCTGTACTATATTAGGGAAATATGTGACGTGTGCCTAGGCCTGTCACAGTAAGGAATAAATGAAGTAATCGCATGATAATTTAAAACTAATAATTTACATTTACATAATTTAGCGTTTTTGTCTTTTCTCTCTTTGTACATAAAAATTGGACGACAAAAGTGTTCAGTCTGGTGCGCTGGTTTCAACTATTTCTTTTTTTAAGACTTCATAAATCATTTCATTTGTTGTTTCTGTTGTTTTGTGTATTTATTTTCAATATTTATAATGTCTTCCAGTTCTACTGTTAAATGTTCAATGGAATTTAAAGTTTATTGATCTTTAGAATGTGTTCTTGCATTATTATGCCTTTAAAAATGGTCTCAAATCAACAAAATTATTTCTTTTACAATAACTTGTGAGACAATTCATTGTCCAACAACATTTATGACAGTCCTTTGTGTGACAGTATGTGTGAATGTTCCAGTAACTATGTGACTTGAACAGTGGCAAACAAACAGACCCCAGATAATAAGTAGACCATGTAGCTACTGGGAAAAAAAAACAAATAAAATGTTATATTTCTATGTCAGTCGCATGGTTTTATTATTAAATTTGTTTCAATGAGTGCTATGAATGCATAGTAATTGTTGGTGTTTGTGTGCAGATGTGCAGGCAGAGTTGGACTTGGTGGAGGCTGAGTTGGAGCAGGTGGAGCTTCAGGTCGCAGAGCTGCTGGAGAAGCAGGCCCAGCTGACATCTCGCAAGAGCGCTCTGCTGCTGCAGCTGGAGGAGGCCTGCGACGCCATTGGTTCCTCATCCTCTACGACCTCAGTTCCCAAGTGGACCATGAGCAGGCAGGTGCTGCAGAGCTATGATGGCTCAGGTACCGGACAGCCATGTTTTTACCAGCAGCTTTTTAAACAGAGGTGCATGTCTGGATCCCAGTTTGATTATAGAGTTGTGGAATAAGTCCTGGTTGACTCTTCTTGATAGATTTCCCCTGGTCCAAAGAGGTGGAACACCATCTGAAAAGCTCCTTTGGTCTTTCTAAGTTCAGACCTTTGCAGCTCAGAGCCGTCAACCTAACCATGGCAGGCAACGATGTGTTTCTGGTCATGCCTACAGGAAGAGGAAAAAGTCTCTGCTTCCAGTTGCCTGCAGTCTGCTCCAAGGGTACACACACCCACACAAACACGCACACACACGCACGTGCATACAATCTGTGGTCTTCTGGATCTTTCTGACTTTTAGGTTTCTTTTTTCTTTTAAGGCAAATCTGTTGCTACCTAACTGTCACCCACAAAATACTTCAATCATTCGAGTTTATTTGTATTGCACCTTTCAGCAACAAGGCATTTCAAAGTGTTTTACATCACAAATACACAAAGATACAACGTCATGGAACACAGTCAACAATTGAAACATTACATTTTGTCAAGTGTCATTGTTACACATCAAAATGTTGATTAATGTTTCATTTATGATGTTTCAAAAGCAACTCTAATCAGGTAGATTTAAGGGCACTCAGTGCTTTGTGTGTTTTGCTGTTTTCTGGAAATGTATTCCATATTTGTGGTGTATAGAAGCTGAATGCTGCTTCTCCATGTTTGGATCTGGTTCTGGATGCAGAGCAGACCAGACCCAGAAGACCTCAGAGGTTCTACAAGGTTGATGCAGCAGCAGCAGATCTTTCACGTATTTTGGGGCTTAGCTGTTCAGTGATTTATAAACTAACAACAGTATTTTAAAGTATGTTCTCTGATCAGGGAGTCAGTGTAGGGACTTTAAAACTGGGGTGATGTGCTCTATCCTCCTGGTTTTGGTGAGAACGCAAACAGCATGCAAGTCAATGGGTTGGTGAGGACACCAGTGTCCTAGTGACAGTTAAGGGGTTAATGTACATTATTATTAATTCATAATAACAATAATGATGAAGTTAAACACGCCCTGTTGTTTACATCACTAGGAATCTTTTTTCATTCACCTGTATGGCTATGAATGGCTGGTTGGTCATTATGTTGCAGGTTTCACATTGGTTATCACACCACTCGTGTCTCTGATGGAGGACCAGATCATGCACCTGAAGTCTGTTGGTATTCCTGCAGTCATGCTGAATGCATCGAGCAGTAAGGTAACTACTATAAGGGGTGATATGAGATTGCAGAATGTGTGTGACGTACTGCAAAGTTATTGAAAAAGACTGCTTGAATGCAGTGTTTGGTAGGAGATTACCCTATTTTCCGCACTATAAGGCGCACCTAAAAACCTTCAATTTCCTCAAAAGCCGACAGTGCGCCTTATAATCCGGTGCGCCTTATATATGGACCAATATTGAGCCACAACAGGTCTAGCAACTACGGTAAGCAGCCGCCGACTTCATTTTCGCCCATAGAAGAAGAAGCGCGGTGCATGCTGGGATAATTGTCAGTATGCTGGTTTGTTAATAAAGTTTGACTGACCTATCTACCTACCGACCTGATAATCAGGTCGTCTGCAGGTCATTTAGCACCACATTCTCCACGAACATGCTGTGCGCGAACGGAGAAAGGTGACCATTGTCCAGCCACGCCCCGGCCCAGTCGTGGAAGGCTCTCCTCGCCGACCGGAGTCGGACTGTTTTGTTGACATTCTTTATGTCATCAAAGTAGCTTTAGACATTCATCCGGGGTTTTTTCAGTCCTTCTTTTTATCTCTCTGCATCCTTTCTGTTGATCTTTTTTGTTTTCCTACTGCTTTTGCTTCTTCCTCAATTTCTTCTTTGTATCTCAGTGTTTTTGTGTCCATCATTCATACCTTTCAATATACAGAGTTTGCAGATGCCAGACTTCTGCATCTGACAAAAACTGATATAAAAGTTTTGTTTTTATTATTACAAGAAGGATGGAAAACTCCTTCTGGACTAATTTGTTCATGAATTTGTCCGATGTTATGTGCATGGTTAATAGTTTGCCTAAATGTTAAAAGGGCACCTGGACTGTTTGTCTCTTTTTTTTTTTTTTTTTTTTTTTTTTTTGGGTTTTTTTTTCTACGCTTTTTTCTCCCTTAT